AGATGAAAAAGAAACATATACAGCTAAGAATCCAACTATATGACGTTCTTTTTCCATGAAAATAAATGATTAATCCAAACATACAGGGAAACACCGTGCTAATCATCTACTCCCGCGTGAACACCTTACAATAATAGTGAATATTATCATAAAATTTGCCTGTATAATCACGTGCACATCAAAGCAAATCATATGACTTATCTAACGTAAACACAAAACAATGGCGGTCCACGCCATGTTTTCAATCATCAGGTATCAACTCTAAAGCAAAGCTTGAAATAGTAACAAGGTAGTATATGAAACTAAAAAAAATAAAACGAGTACTACCTTGATAACGCTACACATCAAACTAGGTTAAATTAAAAATAAATGTGTTAACCAAATGAGGAATTCTATGAAAATAACTCTACTTTGAAAAGATACAACAGGTCTCATTCACGTAAATACGCTTAGATAAATAATTTAAAATTTTTTTCTTATTTTCAATGATATCCACACACTCCACACATACATACTAAAGCGCATTCAGGCAGTTGCTGAACTGAACATTCAACTAAACAACGGGACGTTACAATCTTTCCTTGAAAAGGTAGCTTCACTGTGGAAATAGATCGCTGCTGTAGGACACATCTGACACTCGCCGGTAACTATCTTCAGGATTAACGCCCAACAAAACTGCCCATACGTATTTCGAATCCAAACAAACCGGGTTCAGTTTCGCGAAAGTAATACTCGAGATCGTAATTACTTATGCACAGACATAAAATCTCGATGTTCCTAGCCGCATGCCGTTGCATGTAAAATGTTATCGCACAAAGCGCTGCCCAAATGTGTCACTAAAGCTTTGATAAAGTTGCTTTTAGACGGTCGTTACTGTTAACGATCCAAAAATAATCTTCTCTGTTTATCACAATCAGTATCTAAATTTAGTTTATTTAAACTCGTTTCTATAAGAGCGCGTCTCCAATTCGAAAATGTTCCCTCGCGTAAATTTCATCATTCTTCGTCTTACTACAAATTCGGCGAACTTCCAATTTTAACGTCAAATAAATTAATTCTGCAAGTTGCAGCTAACTCGCACATTGTCACCAATTTATCACAAGGAGTTTCTTAACGATCCGATTGAAATAATGCAGCTGCGACCCTCTTGTTTGTAATTTTCCACTCAAAATAAAAACTGGTAACACTTTATCGCTACTTAATAAATTTTTTTTCAACGATAATTTAGCGTACCTAGGATCCGCTTACGAGATTGACTGCAAAAATATTGCAATTTTGCGAAAATAACTCACACACCGAAATAATACGCGAACTCGTCTGTTGTCTAAAATCCCCGCACACATTTCTTATCTCAAAATGCACACCTTGTTCCCTGCCTTGTTCTGTGTTAGGTTCTATTTGCAATATGTTTACCGATTTATGATTTATGAAGTCGTATTTACTAAAGATTTTTGGCAGACCCGCTATCGAATAAGTTATGTAACCTGTTTTTTGAAGAGTGATACATATGGTGCAATCTCTTTTTAAATCGGCCACATCAAGGCATTAGACATTTTAGATCGGATCTTAGGGAACTGAAATAGCAACTAATGCCACTCGCCTTTTGTAAATTTGGGACTTATTTTATTGTAATTTCTGAATGAATTAAACACAAGCACACATCAAAAGGTATAATAAATGAGCTTTTATTCGACACATTTTCATTCATCACCGCGATGTAAATTGTCGATTTTCACAAGTTGGTGGGTGGTGCTTGACACTGGTATCGTTCTTTCACAAAATCCCTATACGCGTCACGCACATTTCCTTCAACCAGATTATTGTACCAATCTATCTTCAACATTTTTTTAGTTTACCTCATTCTTTAGTGATGTGATGGGGCTCATTTAAAATAATAGATATGTGGAGAAATTGTACGTAAAATAAAATAATGTATCTATAGCTTCCCTGTAAAGCGTAACCTCCGTCCTGTATTTGTACTATAAAAACTTTTCCAAGAGAGGTTACGTAGCCCTTTTATTGCAAACAGTAACAAATGGTAAATAAACAATTGGATCAGAAGTATCCAACTGTTTTCTGAGTTGGTCCACGTTGACCGACAATTAAAGTGAGATAAAGTAAGATGCGTAAGCGACACTTTTAACGCCTTTAAAAAATCTGAATGAAGCGATCATACAATGGAGAGGGGATTTATCATGCAGTATCCAGCTGTTTGCAGACTTCCGCAGTATACATAAGGGCACATCAATCGTTGACTACGCACACATAAATCGCTATTTATTACGTTTAATTTAGAAGTCTAAATCTCTATACAAACTCTTTATCTATACAAAGCCAGAAAATAGCCAATTCCACAAATACTAACCGTTCGGTCTTGCAAGCAGTGGATGTCACGCCCAACCACGCTGCCTCACTCTAGCTCCACCTGCCAGAAGAGGAAGAAAGACGGCCCAGCCAAATGCTGTAACTGCGGTGGGGCGGGACAGCGCACGGCTCACTACGGTGGCCCAAGGAATATTATCGCAGGCGTGCCGCAGGGATCACTCCTCTCACCGCTGCTCCTCAACATCTTCTCCACAGACCTTCCTCGCGATGAAGGCACGATCATTGCAAGCTACGCCGACGACACCGCCATCATTGCAAGTTCAGAAGATCCTACGCCAATAAGCAGACGCATCCAAAGAGCCGCAAATCCCCTAGAACTGTGGTACTCGAAATGAAGGATCTCCATCAACCCCGATAAAAGTTTGGCTATTTCCTTTTCCAAAAGAAGAATCCCTTCACTGGCGCAAATTAACTGTTTGGAGTCGACATTGCACGGGTCAAATATCTTGGACCGATTCTCGAGACACGAAAGGGGGCAGATTATGTACCTGGTAGCCAAGGTTAACGCTGAAATCGCAAAGCTGTATTCACTACAAAACAGTAATCAAACCCGCGATGACATACGTCGCTTTCGTATGGTCCTCCATCCGACGCGACACCTGCAAGTAGCGCAGAACAAATTCCTTCGAATTGCAACAATCTCGCCATGGCACTAAGAGGCGCTGACATCCACCGGGATCCCACAAGTAACGGAGTACATCCAATCAGCCGTGGTCAATTAATTATGGCACATCCAAACACCTCTCTTTATGGGACTACGGTCCAGACGGGGCTCGGCGAAGAAGCCGGATTGTACGCTTCTGCAATAAACACTACAGGTTCAAACGAAACAACAAACATTCGATGAAGGCATAACGGGATCAATCCCCGAGATGCCATAATGTCATTACGAACTGAACTGAACTCCAAGATTTTTGGCATTAACATTAGGTTGCTCTCCTTGCTCTTATTTTTAATTGCAATGACCCGCTTCATTTATCTCATCCTGAAAATACACACGTAAAGCATTATTTATTTTTTGCGCGATCGGTCATTTCTGACTATTTACCATGTGTGTTTCCATGACAGTAAGTGGAATTTACCAGTTGCTATGATTACGACGACGCCAAAATTACTTACCGATCTGAAAACAGAACAGCAATAGTATATTGAAAGACAAGTGTTACAATGCGACCTATTGTAATACGACTATCTTGTGGCACGAGTGGCGACGCGAAGCGTAGCCACGAGTGTCCGCAAGATAGGAGTATTACAATAAAGCATTGTAACACGCGTTTTTCATACTATTTTTTCTATTTCGGTGCTTTAATTTAATTAAAAAAATCATTATCAGAAACTATAGGGAACATTAGAACTAACATGTTTTATGTTGGGAACACTTTTTATGCCGTTAAGTTTTAGGTTGGCAGCGTAGTAAGACTGACATTTTGAAGTTCAAACATGGAAGTACCCAACGAAGTACCTACTTGTACTAACTAGTAACTGCCAACTTAAGAGATGAGTTACCAAAGAAAACGACTATAATCACTGTCTTTGTACAACTGTTTTAGGCCGAAAACAGTTGTACAAAATCATCATTGTGACACCGAAATAGAAAAAAATACTTACCGACGCCTTTTTAAAAACAATCAGTTCAATGTTAACAGTCTTACATTACATTTAATCTTTAATTTAATCTTCGACATACCATTCGGCCACCGGCAAATACCTGGCTCATAAGTCATAAAGGAAGTGCAAAGCTAGCAAACTACATCAGACACATGCACAATTTTATGAAATTATTAATTTCAATTTTGACAAATAAACTGGTTACCTAGTGATGTACACCATACCACTTCGATCATTTCGATTTATTCTGCTCGTTAATTTCTTAGTGCATATTTATATTGGTTGCATAATTTTAATTTCGATCGCGCAAAAAATGTTATAAGCACGTCGAACGTTAAGGGTTACCGTTCTCAGACAATAATTGGAGTCGTCGCTCCGCTCCTCCTCCAAACAATTGTCTTCGAACGGTAAAAATCCCTTACCGTTCTCCATACTTAATATACTATAAGCTACTTTATTTACATCTGAAATAATATGAAACTTCTAACCGCGCTTGTTACTTTATATTTCTAATCCCCTATTAGTTTTCTTACGGTTAAATAAAAAAAAAACCACCTTGGGTTATAATAAATTGAACAATTAATTTCCATGCAATGCATAATGCATTTTCTTACGGTATTAAATTATTTGTGCATACGGAGACTTGTCACAACTTTTTTAAAGTATTAGGTACGCTGGTTTGTGGTTAGAACACCGTGAAGTGGACGTGTCGACGGTATTAAAAACCTGCACAAAATTCCTGAGAGGCGCTAAATATTAAGTAAAAACCACAATAATATAATCTCGAACGCGTTTCAACTGCTGTCGATATTTTAATATAATATTGTGGTTTATTTGTGTTTTTGTTTTACTTTTTATAAGTTCAACTGCCGCAGATGTTCCGTGCTTCCAAAGCAAGTTTAAAAACCGCTGTTGGAGGAGAAAATGAGTGAGCAATTAAGTAATCTTTATTAGAACCATTGAATAATATTCAGATTCTTTATTCAATGTTACCACTAAGCACTTTACATTCATCCGCTCCTTCTATAAAAAATACGCATTACTTTCACAAATAACTCATGAGGTAGTTTCTGGGGTAGCCGATCTATTAGTGATCGAATTTGCTTATCAGATTCGTCTTCATGGATCAAAGCTAAATTTTGGAGATTAAGCTCGTCGTATACGGAACGAACTACTAAAACAGCATTATCATCTGGCACGCCATAATTTTGTTCTAGGACAGTTTTTTGTGCTGGGGATGCTCGTTCTAACGCCTTTACTATGAACCATGTACATCTACCTTTTTGAATGTCATTGCTATCCCTTCCCGTTGCAGCTTTATGGCCATAACAATCCAAGTAATCATTCTACAAGGTTCGTAAAAAATGTTAAAAGCACTACCTAATCATTTACCTGTAATTGATAGTGCCTTCCAATTTCCATCATAAGGCTGTTTACTTGTTCGTGTAAAACCTCATCGTTTATACCGCATAATAGTAATGCAGATCTAACGAGTAGTGCAAAGAGATTACCGGATTTATAGCGTACGATGTAGTTATACGTGTTTATGTTATACGATTGAAAATACGTTGGACTACCTCTGCTGTAAATCAAATCTCCACATTGTCCCATATAAGCTTTTATATTCGTCTTGTGGAACAATTCAACAAGCGAGATGTAGTTGCGGTGATTCTTGAAGTATTTTTTTAGAATCGTGTATATTCCATTATCTATCCACATTGCATCAGTAATCGCTCGCATTCCAACATTTTCCACCAAATACCAAGAGGGTAATCCACGACGCGTTTGAGAACCGTCTTGAATGTCATCCAGCAGTAGGTAACTAGTATGCAACTGAAATAAGGTACACATTAGTGTTGTTTATTGCACATCGTCATTCTATGGGCGCGTTCCTCGGGTCACTGCTGTCGCAGCGCCACGGAAGCGGTCGTTTGGCGCTTAACAGCGTCCGCCATTTTTCCAGCGAAAATACTTTCCGCTAGAATAGTCAGTGGAAGGTGGGGGTAAAAGTGCGCATGTACCGTGACAGGGACCGCTTTTTGCAGAAAGGGACCAACCAGGGGACCAACCCACATCACTATGAAAATGAGAAAACTTAGGTCAAAATTTATCAAATGCTATCAATTCTAGGCATCAAAATTAAAGTTTACTGGTACTCCACGCCCTAGAAGGATACATATTCTTGTTGAAGGAAATTTTGATTTTTTATAGAAAAAAAAAAATTTTGTGGTCTGAATAATTAGCAAGTCGGCATCATCTGTAGCAGTGTAAGTGGAAATAGTTGCTGATTATAAGGTGCTAATGAGTTGACCAATAATTATAAATTGTAAATTCACTATTTGTTTTTCTAGTGATATGATGGTAACTGACGCATATATCTCAAATACGTTTACTAAAGATTCAAAAATAGAAAATGCATTGTCGAGAAAAGAACAGCTCTTTAATTTCGATTCAATAATATAATAATAATAATAATAATAATTGCCGCAAAAAAACAACACTGGGTTCATTTTTGGCGACAATTATCGAACTACATTTAAATAATTGTTCAAATGATCACATAGGGATCATCAAAAGAATGAGAAAGCTGTGACTCATATAAAATAAAATATAATGAAAAGCAAAACGAAAAAAAACCAACGAGAAAAGTAGAGCAGATCAGAACGAAGAGAAGAAAGGCAAGCAAGCCAACGCAACACAATACACAGCTTGGCAGACAGGGAATAGAACTAAATTACCAATTATCTTATACTTACCATCTGCGCACACCAACCCACGATATGCGCCAATCTAATATTTTCTTCGCTTAACTTATTGGGATCTTCGATTGATGTATAAAACGCTATCGGTAAGAAGGCGGGAATTTTCTTTCCGTGTGGTATATTGTACTCTAACATCTTTCGGAATTCACTTCCAACCTCTGGATGTTTTTTAAAATCTGGTGCATCAGTTAAGTCATCCACTAGGATTGGTAGTAGAGATTTAAAATATGCGCTCGTCTCTTTTGATACAATGTCAATTTCTTCAGGTTTAGCAACGTTTTGGTTGGGAAGGGATCTGAAACATGCACGTCGTTATGCACAAATAGTATACTGCAATTGCGATTTATAATGATAGTATTATGATACAGTCATGTTTTCTTTAAAACATAAAAGCCCAATCCAATCTTTGCCAACAGTTCTCCATTGCATTCATAAATTGCCACTTTTAGTCTACAAGATGAGAATATTTTGCCCCTAATACAACCTCTCAACGTATATCAGGCAAAACGTATTTGCAACTGTAGACTTTGCCTTGGTTTGTATATTTCTTAAGAAATTTGGGCATAAAACATGGCACTATGCGCGAAAGTTTTTACAAAAATGGCTTCTACCTGTTGCGGTAGAATGGAATTTATCCTATAACATTGTGTACGTAAGAATTTGTAACTGATCAAAGTGTTGCTCAGTTGATGTTCAGATCTGACCGTACACAAACACGTAGGTATAGTAATTATGCATTACTTTTAGCACAGACAACACTCGTATGTGCTTTTAGCAATATACAATTTATCTCGCACAACTATAGACAGTTTTATATTATAGAACGATGCCGCAATTGTGAATAATTTTAATAGTCCGGTCAAAATACACATTTCAAATAAACAAAATTCCGACGGAATTGAATTTTGGTAGAGGCCTTAAGTACACCAGTAGAAATAAGTTGCCAAAAGTTCCCATAGATCCCATGTGCGGTAAAGATGTTATTCAAGTTCAACAGTCAACATTTTCTATTTTTTGGATTTTTCTCGCAAACGGCAAGTTTCATCTAACATACAAAAATTATAGACCCATCAAATTATCTACAAAAATGGTCATTATACTTTTTTCTCTAAGAATCACCATTCCTAAGATATCGCCCTTATAAAAGTTGAACGAGTTACATTACTACATGAGATGTATACCACTGCACTGGTGAGGTGGTATACTGATTTAGCGCGTTTTTTTAACGTGGTTTACCCGGTACCCCTACGCAACGATCTGTTATGAAAGAGTTTTATAGGAACATACTGTATTTACGGCATGATGATGATTGACTTTGAAATTGCATTCGTATATGTTGTAATAGGTTGGCAGAATGACTTCAGAAATTCGTACATTAACTGTGGAATAATTCATAAAGGGGAATATAATCCTCCATCCTTGCATATAAGTGCTGTGAAATTGAGTCGTATCACGGTCACACCTCTATTAACCGATTATGTACGTATAACAGATTTCCACCATGACACAGTTTCTACATCGGTGACTAGCATAAAAACAAAGGTTTTTTTCCGCTATTATTTGCTTTCAACGATCCACTAATGAATGCGTTTGGGTTCAGATCGTCACATCCTCTTGAACAAGCTAGCGTAAGGACAGTGCATAAATCCGTTTCAGAAATGAAGGTCAGGAATACAACCCCCAAAAGAGATAAAGCAGCAGTTACACGTTACTCAGTAGTCAAATAGTAACTGTGTACAAATTTCTACCACATTCACAAGTTTCGTTTAATTTAAGAAAACAGTGAAATTGTGTGGAAATTTAAAATGTTTTGACCAAATTTTTTTCTGTAGTTTCTCACAGGATCATACGATCCGTTACACTCTAATGTTATAGCAATAAGCTTACCTTGCGACATTTGGATCGTGGGTATGCTGGAAATATGAGGCTGATCTTGAAAACCTGTACGATCTCTGCAAAAAGCTCTTTATATGTAAACTTAACATGTGTGAAAACATTTTCAAAACGAATTCGACTAAGTTGTGAGATGACACACCTTCACAAGATAACTATGTACCAGAATCTCGGGATTATAATCCGTCGAAATATAATTTAACTGTTATCTAGGCTTATCCGATATGTAGACGAATTAATTAAAAGGAAAAGAAACATCTCCCATACTTGTTTATTCGTTAATCAGAGCGGCTATCTTCTGGTTATAAAATTTGGATAATAAAAAGATCATTAAGAAATTAATGTACAACCCGGATGGACGGCCAACCATTTTGAAACAGACAAGCGCAAAACGTTACATTTTTTCCAACAGTTACCAACCCGAACGTGTTTTGCGCTTGTCTGCTTCAAAATGGTGGCCGTCCATCGGGCTTTTTTTTGGGATTGGGAAATCCTCAGGGATACCCCTGCACGGCTTTATAGCGGAGATAGTGTGAGATTTCCACCCACTAAACCCTTCCCCTGATGTTCAGTTCCATACCCAAATCGGAACCTCGTGAACATTACGTCAGGTAGAGTGGTGTTGGGTGGCCCGGTGTTCGCACACCCTATGGTATAAGTGCTTGTGCTCATTCTCCTCTGGTGGCACTTTCCACCCCTATTCTCATTTTCTCACTTACCGTACACCACGATGACGAAGCTACTCACTCTCTGCCATTTCTGTGACGTTAAACCAATCCCCACTGCCGCCTCAAGTGCTTTCTCGCTCCACCTCATGCACTGGAAGAAAGAATGCTCCTTGTCGTCTCTCATTAGACAGGCGACGCAAAGGTCATCCCCTCTTTGCCCTATCTTGTGGCGGTAGATACCCAGTTCCCCGAGTTCTGTAGCACTGAACAAGCATGTACATACCTAATTTACCTCCTCATGCTTGCGCCAAACCCACTCCCGCACACTCGTAATCATCAGGGTGTGCGTCCAAGGCGTACTTAGGTGCGTTTTTAATGGGATTGTGGAAGTTGGAATGATTTTAATGGTTCTTGAATTTCTGTAGGGTTACTCGGGTATTATGAGGGTGACTTCATAAAGGACTGGTTACTCCAAAATTTTTTACTTTAAATTTGTTCCCTAAGTGGTCGCTCTATTTTTTGTCAAGGGTTACCAGATGCGACCTTGATCGTTTAAATTCGTGAGTAAGGTTGGTGGCATCCGTGCACTGATCTAAATAAAAGATCGATGAACAATACCGTGTTTTAATAATAAACAAATTACGACCTCGCGCAACGTATTAGGCGTCATGCGCAGTAGGCATAAACGAGTAGGTACTAAACTGATTGTTTTGTTGTTAGTTGTCTATACCAAATACGTGCATTACAATTCCATAAAATGTAAATTGGATTTTCGAGCAATCATTTATTTGTATGTAACTAGTTGCAAGTTATTTTACAGTTTCTTTCTGATCAACGACAAAATATGAGACGGAAGAAATAAAAAAGCTACACCGCAGACTCACGAATACGTTGAGGAATTTTCAATTTGTCTAAAAAATCGCTGCGCATCCCATATGTTTTAGGTATCAATTTTAAATTGAGGTCAGTGCGTCCGTCTAGCGCAAGATTCATTTATTGGTTGAACGAGTAAATATGGCCGCTGACATATTATGCGCAGTGTTAAAAAATTGGGAAAAGTGAGGACGCATCCAGTGGGATAGCCGAAAGGGTATTGTGCAATTAGTTTCATAGGCGATCGTAATTAATAAAAAGTCAAACAGAAACGCCAATAAAACACAATAATATATAACATCGGAGCGTTTCAACAGCAAGGCCTTGCTGTCGATGTGGTCGATATTTGAATATACATATATATTATTGTGGTTTATTGGTGTTTTTATAAGTTCAACTGCCACAGGTGTTCCAGTGGTTCCAGAAACGTCAGATTAAGAGAAATAACAGATCATTTAAGGCCAGTGGCGGTTGAAAATTGGACACATATTAACCATATAACATGTGGATAGCAATCTATTGTAACGTTATTTATAAATTCGGGTTCGATTTATATCAATATTTATTAAACAAAACTAACACTATAAAAACCGTACAATTTATATCGATTATTTATATCACACACACTTCGCAATTTATATTTCCGCGCTCGATCTCGTTCGATAGTAAAACTGCCGCGATGTTCGGTCCGCAACCATTTATACACGCAAGCAATGTAAGTCCAGAACATTCGCGCAATTACCAGACACGCTGCAAACATCCCCACCATCGCGCGTCTAGAAAATTCTAGAGCGCCAAAGGCGACGTCATGTCTGGAGCGTTTCCGTTACACTATCATATTCTGATGATCTCGAATTCGACTCCTGTGAATATACGACTACGATTGTGCATAATAAAGAATGTATGTATCTGTAATAAAATCGTTAATTTATTTACTACATACTAAGGGGCCCATTCTTTATATTGTCGTTAACAAACGATATCGTAATGGTAGCGATTTGATCTTGCACAATAGTTATATTCAGTATCAATATGTCACACAGAATAGAGAAAGTCGTTGCCGAACGATAACCGCTGTGCAACGAGATCGTTACGCGTTAGAGAATAGGTCTCTAAATCAGTATTTCACAAACTATGGGTGAATAGTGAATGACCCCTAAAGGTTCCTTTGGTGCGACGGATATTTATTGATTTGGCGAATTGGCGGAGTGCGGTCACGTGATCTAAAAGCCGTGACGGGAAACCCTATTAGCTAAACAGAAAACCCCGCCACTCTTCAAATGATCAAATAACCAATTAGACCTAAATCTCCGTCGCACTAAAGGCACCTTAATAGGCGATTCGCTACTGTATAAAACATAAAACTAAAACAAATATATTAAACATTTCAATTTGAACAAATAAGACAGCATTAAGTAGTTCCACGACTCGCTACTAGGGAATCTAAGCATTACCAATATTTATACCCTCTTTTCTGTAAGACAACTAAGAGGTGGGTTCCAAGAGGAAATTTTGTTGGATGGATTGGAGCCCAGTCAACTTTGGGAACCACCGTACTACCTATATACATAATTCTTTGTATTAAGCTAATTTGTGGTTAAATCACAGTGCAGTAGCGTGTCGACTGTATAAAACTGCAAACATTACTGGGGGGCGCTAATTATTAACGATTCTCGAGATCGTTTATAATTTTGTATTGCTGTCTGTCTATCCGTCTGCACGATAATTTTGTGCGGAAACGTCCGATCGCTTTGAAAATTGATACACATCTTCTACAGGATATAAGAAAGGTCTGCACGTAGACTAACGGACCAAAAAGTTACAGCCCAAAAACTGCCCAAACGTCCAAAAAGGATTTCTTTTATAATTCTTGTTACAAAGAACATATGAATGTCCACTTTTCTCTATTGGTAAATATTCCTTAAATCTCAGGTAACTATGCAGATGCATAAACAACATTGCGCATGCGCAACCCATTTTTTGTATTTGTGCAATCCCACGTTTTCTATTTGTTAAGATATTTAATTGAAATGTTGTATCTAGTGTTGTATACAGGCACCTCAAATTAAAGGAAAACTAATACCAATCAAAAAATTTGTTTTTCGCATGCGCAATTCGATTTTTTGACATCTCTGTTAGTGATTATGAACCGAATAGGGATTTACAGTATAGTTGAATTCCGTAGTTCTAATTTAATAAGCGTATACCTGAAAGCATAAAACAATTTTTTGGACAGTAAAAGTTTCTTTAAAAATAGTGGCTGATTAGAAAGAAAATAATGAACATGTGCAATATTAGAGCTTTATTCAAAACGAGATTATTGTGGCGGGCTCTGTGACGTAATAAGCCCGACCAATCAGCTGCTAGAACCATTCAGATGACATACGACTTGGCAATATTGCAGGAGCATGTCATTTGTAACTTGCGTCACCTGTCACAGGCGCTTTTCACTTGTCGTTTAACCATTGAATTTATAACTATCAGAAGCGCAGGTTAAATGGCAGGATATGTGACTGTTTTCAATAGTTTAAATTACAAGACGTAGATGTCTCTACCATCGAGAAAGATGAATAATAATGTCAGTTTTTTACCTTTGTTAATTATTATACAGGAATCTGTAATGAACCCACTATCTCGATTTGTAATTGTTGTATACAGAATTCTAGATACCCAAGAAACGTACTTATAAGGCATTTATGTGGCACACAGGATGTTGAATGACGTAAGATAAACATTCTTCCTTTCATGAATCGTGACCTACTTAACATTCCTTAAGGAAGATTGAATTACATTTGAACAGGAAAGCAAAAAATACGCAGGCATCCTTGATCACTGTAACAGAAATTAAATGTACCTACCTATCTATTCTTAATTTTTGTGTGTGTCGGTTAAACCGTTGCCACCGGTTAAACTACCTAGGACAGGGGTCGGCAACCTATTGAAACGGAAGAGCTAAAAATTACAATTTACAAAATTTCCCAATTTTTAAAAAGAGCCACAAATAATTTTTGATTCAATATTATAGTTTTTGGCTATATACAGGGTCCTGCAACAGTCCGTCGGTTTTTCCTACATAGCTGATAGATACCTGGTAAAAATATTGGTGGTTGCGGATCTACAGAAATTATTTTTGAATGTACAGGGTGTTCCATTTTTACGATGTCAATTAATAACTGATCTTTTTAAATAGAACATCCTGAATATTTGGTTGTTTCAATGCCGTTTGTTCAAAGTGCTATAACTATTCTTTTTCAAATGGAACTACCACTATTTTATTTCGCTATTCGCTTTTGTCTTCTCTTAAATGTTTATAAGGGGTGCCCTGTGCTTAAACTCCGCAGTGTTTAGGTTATTCAATATTTTTCACAAAAGTACCTACTCATTAATTAATTACGTGTTTATACATCGGAGTAGGCTGGCTATAATAAAAAAAACAAAAGAATACCAGAAAGTAAACAAGTGTCAAAAATTAGATAATTATTTGCTGCAAGTATACTTTTGATACAAAATAAGATTAATTAAAAAGGCGAATTTCGAACAAATGAACTAATTTCTTTAGATAAATACGGAGAGCCGCAACTTTATAGGTATCAAAAGAGCCGCAGGTTGCCGACCCCTGATCTAGGATCACACGTCACACCTGGCAATTTTGATACAAAATAAAAAGGTCGTTAACCTCTTTTCTTTTAAATTCTGACGTTTGAAATTTGTTCTCAATGGTTAATCGATAACTTATCGATAATTATCGATTAATAGATAGTCAATCGATAAATTTAAAAAAAATGGTCGACCGGTCAACAAAAAAAGAATTTTTTGCGCATGGGATTTACACAATATATATTCTGACTATAATAAGCAAAAATAAATAAAAAGTGCGATTAAGACATCGAAAATATTTGCTTTTACAAAAGTTACAGCGATTTGATTGAAAGCTTTCAGGGGCGAAAATTAAAGCTGGAATCTTTGTTTTCCCTAAAAAAAAAAAGAAAAATGGAGGGTGATATTTTTCCGCGGTTACTTAGCAAAGAGGAAAAAAAATCCTGGAACAGTTTTAAGGCAATAGTCCATGGTTTCCCGTTCAGTGTTTCCTGGGAAACCATAGAGCTGAAAATTATGACGAGCTGACAGGATTTGGTTTTGTATCATGGGGTATAGAATGTCTCTAAAGAATAAAGATGCACAGGTTACATTCTCATTTAGATCAATTTAAGGATAATATGGGAGCTTATTCGGAATAAGGACAACACTTTCTCGAGACAATGGAACTTAGGCACCTTCCCAAGGCCAGGAAGTTGGAAGCATGATGGAAGATCAGATTCAGTTGAACATGACAAAAACAGCAAAACTGTTCCATTTTTAAACATTTAGACTCTAAGATAAACAAATTATAAATGTAGAAACGTTACCATTTAATAAATCATGCCTATGTAAGTAGGATTCTATAGGTATTTTTATTTTTTGGTTTTTTGCATTTTTTTCACACAAAAACAAATACATAACCATTTTTTGTTCTAATTCTTATTTGTGGCTATAGAAGCAATAAAAATAAGGTATATATGTCCCATGCGCAAAAATGCTGTAGACCGGTGTAATTTATCGAAAATGTTAAAGGATTGGTCGATAAACCTATAATTACCGATAATCTATCGATTAATCTCACAACTAAACTATTAAGATAGATAATTATCGAGAGAATTTTTAACGACATAAACTTTTCAATGTTTAGGTATACCAGTTTACTTCCAACAAAAGCGATGTAAGAGCGTTGTTGAGTTGCCATATGAGCACAATTCACAACCTACTGCTGTACTCATTTTTGAGGATTATCGTTTACTTGATCACCTTTGATTTCAGAAAACTTGAGCATCAAAAGATCCTGTTTTATTTAAATTATCTCTCGCAATATCAATACCAAAAAAACAAAAATGTTAGCGAGTGTACGCATGGATGATGTAATATATCGATTGAGAATATATATCGATGAGATTTATGAAAAAGTATCGATAGTTTTCTCTTGATAATTTCCGCTACTTATTTATTAATCAATAAATATCAGAGATAGACAATTTTCGTGGCAATAATAATCGATTATTATCAGCAGCTAACAATCATTATTAATTATTTTCAAAAGTTATCGATAATTATAAAAAGTTATCGATAATTATCAAACGTTATCGATCATTATCGAAAATTAGCGTTACGATTTATCGATAATTGTCGATTATTATCGAAAGTTAACGATTAATCGATAATTATCAGACTGAACAGACTTATCGATAAATCGATAACAATTTCATTTATCGCTCAGCTCTAGTAGGTATACGAATTCACGTAAACTGGGACCGATTTATTTGTGCACAATGCTGCATGGTTATAAAAAAAGCTGATTCGCGAAATTTAGTTATCAAATGTGAATGTGGAAATGATGTAGCTGCCTGCTTGCAACGGACAATATTTTGCCTTCAAATTTTTTTTGATCGTTTTTTAATAACAAAATCTCCCGCTTTCAGTAAAAATGTGGAACCTGCCTATTTTACTGCCTGTGAATAGAATGTATGAAATTGCATTCCTTCAAGGACAAGGACTGCAAGCTTCGTTCGTCTAAATGTATTATTATTTACATTACAAATTTACGCAATGCTTCTTAAGGGATCTATTTTTAGAACATTCCAATCCTATTTATAAAACCATTCCAATGATAACACAAAAAACATCCGGAGTTCCTGACATCTGACGATTAAAAAGGAAAATATTCGAATGGTCAAAATAAATGGTTTGTAATGCTGCCATCTAATGTCAATGTAACGCTCCACTTTCGATCGCCCACGGACTTTCAAACGATCGAACTGCCCCTAGCGGCGGCCAGTTGGCACATGGTCACAAACTGTTATATGGGATCCGCGCTTCTGATAGTTATAAATTCAATGGTTTAACTTTCGCGTTAGATGCAGTTAAAACATGTCTCTTAAAACATCAAATCCGACAACGTCAAACTCTCGCACAAGGTTTCCGGCTCACTTCTACGTGATTGGTTGTAGGTTTGTGACGTATTTACTATTTAGACTGAAGCGTTTCAAATTCGTATTAAAAACACAGTTTTTCAATAATTCATTTTGAGTTTATTTTACTCGCAAATAAAAATTGAGGACACTCGGGTCTCTTTATTTTTAATGTACTTTGTAGATCAGAAATAAAAAATGAAGCCGGGATGCCCCCAAACGAAGGTGAGTACTTGCTCAACGCTACCCGCTTAATTTACATCACACTGCTTAAACAGATTCAAGCCCCCAAAAGGGGATGAAGTGGCAGTGGAAACTTTTAGTAGGTACGTTATTCAGTATGTCAAATAGTAACTGTATACAAATTTGTAGGTCTCACATTAAATTGAGTGGAAATTTAAAATATTTTGACCACTTTTTATTTTATAGTTTCTCTACAGAATCATACGGTCCGATACACTACCCTAATGTTATAGCAACAAACTTACCTTGCGCCATTTGAATTTTGTATATGCTCGAAAAGTTGAGCTGACCTTAAAAACCTATACGATCTTTGCAATAAGCGCTTCATAAGTATGTAAAGTTACGATGTGTGAAAACATTTTCAAAACGACTTGAATTAAGTTGTGAAACGAACAAACCTGTAGGTACTCGTAGTATGATTTTGTTGTTATAAACCGCCGCAATGTAATTTAATTTAACTGTTAGGATTATCCCACAACTGCCATACTTGTTTATTAGTTAATCAGAGCAAATAGTTTTGACTTCATTTTCTGGTTATACAATTTGGATAATAAAATGATTATAGAGGAGAGTTGTAGAGCGGTGATGGATTACATCTTAAATGGCACTGAAGATAAATTACCTACATTTACAATTTATCTCATTTATCGACGCATGCTGTAAAGTGATCTCTAAGTTTTAAACATTAACAAATTATTAACTATGAAGACATAATTGTTAAAAGTAAAACTCCTTGACTAACATATTATTTAAAGTTTAAACGTACCTAATTGAATATTAATGTACAACCGGAACCTGTTTGTGGTTGTAGGTTTCAAAATGGTTGGCCGTCCATCCGGCTTTATTTAGGATTAGGCAATCCTTACGGATACCGCTGCTTGGCTCTATAGCGAGAGTAGTGTGGGACACCCCCCACTAAACCTTACCCCTGATATTATAACCAACTTGGAACCGCATGAACATTACTTTAGGTTGGGTGGCCCGGTGTTAGTACACCCTATAGTAATTGCTTGTGCACATTTTCCTCTTGTGTTACTTTCCACCTCTACTCTCATTTTCTCTCGTACTGTACATCAAAAGGTGACGACAACTTACTCTTTTCCATCTCTCCTGTTGGCTGCACGTCACCCTGTTAATATTCTGCGGCGTGAAAACCGACCCGCACTGCCACCTCAAGAACTTCACACCAGCAATGTTAGAACGTGTATTTGAAAACATGACCCATCCAGTGCCACTGCGTTTAATTAAATGACATTTGGCGTGTTACCAACTTTGAAAATTTTTTGTTTTGCGGGAAATTCAAACTGTCCGCACTACTTTATGATCACCTGGTACCTAATATCGTTGATTCATTCAACTACTTAAGTACATAATTCATTGCATTATGCTATTTTGTGGTTAAAACACCGTGCAGTCGACTATACCTAAAAGTGCAGAAAATTCCTCAGAGGCACTAAGTATTAAAACTTAAAAACTGCTAGTGCAGGAGAAATTAAGTAATCTTTATTAACTCTAAATACTTTACATTCATCCGCTCCTTCTATAAATACTATGCAATAGTTTCATAAGTAAATCGTGTGGTAATTTCTTAGGTAGCCGATCGATTTGTGATCGAATTTGCTTATCAGATTCGTCTTCATGCATCAAACATAAATTTTGGAGATGACTGCTTGCCATGGTAGCGGTATAAACAGTAGCTTGTGTACTGGTCTCGGTACTGGTCGTTTCTGTAATTTTTCATCAGGAAATATGGAAATAGAGAGTGATTTGGTTTATTGGTGTTTTTGTTTTACTTTTTGAAAGTTAAACGGACACAGGGGTTCCAGTGCTTCCAGTAACATCATATTAAGACGAAAGCACATAATTTAAGGATGGTTGAAAATTAGACAAGATATTAACAACACTACATGTGGATGGCAGATAATCCATCACATTCTGATGATCTTGAATTCGACTCATGTGAATATGAAATTCCTGAGAAGCGCTAAATTTTAAAGCTTAAAAACTGCTGCTGCAGGAGAAGTAATCTTTATTAATACTATGTAGGTTAGGTACCTACATTCATCCGCTCCTTCTGTAAAGAATACGCAATAATTTCACAAATAAATCGTGAGGTAATTTCTTGGGTAGCCGATCGATTTGTGATCTAATTTGTTTATCAGATTCGTCTTCATGGATCAAAGCTAAATTTTGGAGATCAAGCTGGTCGTATACGGAACGAACTGCCAAAATAGCGTTATCATCTAGCACGCCATAATTTTCCTCTAGGATAGTTCTTTGTGCTGGGGATGCTCGTTCTAACGCATTTACTATGAACCATGTACATTTACCTTTTTGAATGTCGGTGCTAGTCGTTCCCGTTAGAGTTTTATAGCCAAAACAATCCAAGTAATCATTCTACGAGGTCCGTAAAAATGTTAAAATCACTAACTAGTCATTTACCTGTAGTTGAAAGTGCCTTCCCATTTCCATCATAACGTCGTTTACTTGTTCGTGTAAAGCTTCATCGTTTATACCGCATAAGAGTAATGCAGATCTAACGGGAAGTGTAAACAAAGGCCCAGTTTTACAACGGGCGATATAGTTATACGTGTTTATGTTATACGGAGGGAAATGAGGTACACCACGTTTGTCGTAAATCAAATCCACGGATTGCCCCATAGCCGTTTCCCTACTTACTTTGTGGAATAATTCAACAAGCGAGATGTAGTTGCGGTGATTCCTCAAGTATTTCTTTATGATCATGAATAGTCCATTATATATCCACAATGCATCAGTGATAGCTTGCATTCCGACATTTTCCACCAAATACCAACATGGTAATCCTCGACGCGTCGGAGAACCGTCTTGAATGTCATCCACTATTATGTAACTAGTATGCAACTGAAACAAGGTATGTATTTTAGTGTTGACTATTGTGCATCGTTTAACCATTGTTACGCACAAATATCGAAAACGCTCTATGAGCGAAAATAACGCACGTCGCACATAACGCGTTACGGGCGAAGCTAAATGTTTTAACACCGAAATTAAGTATTTTTCCGTGTTACGGAGATTATCTCAAAATAGAAAGTAGTTTTACACTTACGTTTGCTACTTTGTTATACAATTTGATTCATACCTTTGTTCCACATTATCTTTTTAAATTGTTAGTAAAACGAGCTGATATGCATAATGTAGCCCTTCGAAATATCAATACCCAGTACACTATACCTAAACATACTACAGCAAAATACAAAATTTCCTTTGAATACACAGCCCCTTGCATGTTAAATAAATATCATGTACTATTTCAACTGTCATCTGCTCATCAATTTAAGGAAAAATTTAGAAATCAGTTGTTAAATTCACAGAAATTGGCAAATTAAATGTGTAGCCAAGTACCCGCTTTGTAGTTTCCAATTAAGAATTATTACGTAAAATAATAACACTACCTATTTATAATAAGCAAAAATACTAATCCTCGCCAATTTTGTAAATTTATTTCGATCAATCAATGTCTATTTGTTATTTATAATTTTAATTTAGATTGTTGGCATATAGAATATAATAATTCTTGCTTCATTGTTGATTTTCGTTGTTTATATACATATATTTTATTGTTTCTATATTTAATCTAGTTTTGCATGTTTATAAGACCATCAATGTTGTTATATAGATATATTTAATTTTTTTGCAACTTTATAAGATGTTATAGTTGAAAGTATGTCCAGGAAATATGGCAAGTTTTTAGGCAGGATTGAAAACCGGCTTTGCGGAATCTTGTCCTTTTGATTACTTAATAATCAATAAATGTTATTATTATTATTATTATGGTCGTGAACTTATGCCCATAACGCGTTGTGGTCATTTTAGAAACGGCCACAATGCGAATTGGATAGTTACAATCAACCGAACACCGGATTTTTTCAGTTTTAGTATCGCTAGTAATTCAGTTATTAATTTGATTTCAAGTATGCCATTTCAATCGCTATTGTAATACTAAGAAAAAGTTTTACCGTTCTAAGCAAGTACAATGCAGCTCCTGAGTAGCTCCTTTTGTACAATTTGGTTCAATATCTGTTTTAATTAAAAATTACTTGTTTGTTGTTTAAAAGTATTATTTGCTTGTTGGTCACTTTATTTTCATGTTAAAGGAATGCTGTGTGCAATGGAATGCGGTCAACTACACCGCCCACAAAAGACCTGCCCAGCTAGCAAATTAAAATTGTAAAATAGAATTTTTGTAATCTCTCCTCTACACTTCCGGTATCTGCTACAAAGAAAAATTCAATGTTAACCTAAATTACTGGTTTCGGAGACTCGGTATCCTCGATCAACTTTCGGAAATTCCAAAGGATTATAACTACAGAAAAGTTAATTAACACCTGACACAATTCTGGCCACGAGAAAAAAATCTGTCACGAAAACTCTATCCGAATCACACAAAGAATTCGAATAAACACACAATTAATTGATTGGCAATAACAAAAATTTTATCTGAAGCACACAAAATGAAAAATTAAAACAAAATTCCTAAAAGAAAGAAACGATTACAAAGATTGTTTGAACAAATAGCCCCGCACCAGGCGGTCGATAGTTAAAAATATTGAAAATCTTAAATTACTTTTTTTCTCTTATAAGAGAACAAAGATTTGCGATTACAAGGTGCATTTAATTTCACACACAAACGCTGACAGGTTCTGATGAACTTGACTTTTGTTTAACACACAAAACTACTTGATGACAACCAACATTAACTTAATGAATAAATTGATAAGTTGTGGGTGGCTCTTCAGACGGTTCAAACTTTTCACTGTTAATAACAAGAGAACCTTAATAGAAGAAGGCCTCATGATTGCACTAACTGCTTGATTTTTCAACTTTTTCCACAAAGTGGACAAAGGGCTTTAAACTTCTCACACAACTTTGGTTAACTTGCTTCTGCACAAAATTAAAATAATAATGACAAACTCCGCCTTCAAATAATCAAATCGGGCGGACTACCCGAATAAAAATAGCGTACAGAAACGTACACGCTTTCCAACCGTAGGGAACCAGCCACGTTTTATATTCCCTGGGCCAAATCGAACTCTTATTAGGACTCGCCACTTTTTTATCCTATGAATTTATGTAATTTAATTTCGAATAACAATATTAACTTAGATATATTTCACAACAGACTCGATTTATTTAAAAGTAAGTTATCTGAATTATTAAATATTTAAGATTTCTAATCTCAACCTTATAATTTAAAAAGAAGTTCAGTTATCTACACCGTTTTGGGCTCTAGCCTGTGGTCTAGTTGTACTTCGTTAAATAATTTTGTGACATATTACAACTAATAAATAAATTTGAACTTGAATATATGGAAAGTGCGAAATGTCACTAGGAAACTTGGAAATCCCTCCTAGTAATTCAGACGATCCTGAATTCCGAAATGTTAACTGGGGCACTAAAAAGCCGCTATGGAATACTAAATTGGGGCACGAAAGCTGCTATGACAATAACGGTACTGACCGGATTATAAGGGTGCGAACTCCGCACGCAGAAAAAATGGAGCGCGAAAAAATACGTCTGTTCGAAAACCCAGCAACGAACCCTACGTCTCGTCTGTTAGCCTTGAACACCAACAGCGAACTCTACGTCCGGTCGTTTCGAAAACCCACAGCGAACTCTCTCCTTCCTCAAAAAATGATCCCTTAATTCCTCCTACCGAAATAGTAACAATACACCCTAATATGCAAAAGCTTAAACATGGCGCAGGATTCGCATCGTTTAATTGGTTAACAGAAAATGCTTACTCAACAATGAAGGCGACATATACAGGTAATTAAAATGTACCAATATAAGACAAATTAGCGACTTCTTGTCTCCAAAGACTCATTAATTTACAAAGAGAGTGCTAAGACGGATATGAACGAAAGCTCGCCAACTCCAATCGACAAAATAAAGAAATGAACATAGTTTAAAGAGTATTTGCTTGACTGATTGCGAACTTGAACTACAAGCCACCTTTAGATTTTAATTTCCGTAATTTTACGCGAAACAAGCCGAAAAAAATTCAAATCAAAAATACGTTCCTGTGACACCGCAGTGTGGGAAAATCGTTATTCCGTGCATCGAGGATACTTGGAAACATTTTCTTTCCATACAATGAGCACAAAAAGTATCTTTTCAGCACTTGCGATGAGGGTTTAGGTATTAGACTAATACCAAAGAGTAACCATAATACTCTTTGCTAATACTACTCTCCTTTGTTAGTTAGCGCTCTCCAGCATTTTGTTACTAGCAGTAAGATTGCATCTATACTATATGAAATTAAGTTGTGGTGTTGAGTGAAAAGTGCTCTCAACGGTTGGGGGTGGTTTTTGGATATAGATAGATATAGGTGAGACATTTCTTGATAAAGTTTGTTTCCCTCTGACGGCTGGCAATAAAAAAACAGAGTTGCATTGTCTGATATTTATATAAGAGCCACGTAACGGAATCATTATCTAGAAGTCTGTTGATTAAATGCGGTTAGGATTTAATAGGGACATGGGAATCTGGAATTAAATCCTGGCATACCGCGGAAAGTTTGCACAATTCATGGTAATAACCTACTCAAAAGTAATAAGATAATCCACAAGAACTGTTAAGTTGAAAATAAAACGCGTTTTCCAGGCATTAACATTAATTACTGCCATTTACATGAAAGAAGGTACACAGGGATTACGCATAATGTTCATAAACCTTATCGCGACGTAGGCTAGACAGCTAAAATAAGTATATGGAAAGAGCATACGTTTAACTCAAATGAATTCGGTTTTGATGGGATTCAATCCTTCTTCATTCAAAAAATCCATATAAAAATCGAGCGTGGGGTCATCTTAACAGTAAATGTGAACTTTGTACATTACGAGTAGGATAAATGGTATAATATGGTTACGATCTTTGTACTATCTTAAATGAATTTCGACCGAGGCCGTCAAAACCAATGACAGCTTATTATGACGTGAAAAAGTACCTACTATAAAATATTTATCAAACAACGCGCTCAACATTTGCACGAAACTACAATGCAAATGAAATCGATCGTGGTATTGTCTAAAACATACTTTTCCGCGTCCATGGATCTCTCGATGTTGTGACCACAATCAATATAGGGTTCATCCACAAGACAACCCGAACAACTTAGTATCAAACAGGTGTCATTTGTAAGTACCTTCTTCTGCCACTCCACTCTGTTTTCGAGTTATTCAGCCTTTGATTCCATTTTCCCTGTTACAAGGGCCTCTTCTAACACGCCGTTTTCGAGGTATTCGCATTTCAAATTTTGACCCACCAACGGATGCGCTTCCTCCATATCTACCATTTTCCCTTTGTAAGGGCCTCTTCTGACCGTCCGTTTTCGAGATATTGGCATTTGACGTTTTTACTTCATCAGTTGTATGCAATTCTGCCATCATAGACTGGTTCACTTATATAAAAAGCAGCGGTTTAACAGGTTCTAAGGGCATTTCAGACAACATTTGGCCAAATAGGCGTTTTTTACTAATTTGGACCTGCTGAACACGAATATCGATGTTGGCACCTCGAAATCTGATCAGGAAGTCCAGAATTCAAGATTGGGCCCAATTTGCGAAAATGTTGATCTTTTCACTCATGCGACCGATTCTTTCGAGCTAAAAACGGATTATAATGTTATTCCTGACGGAGGTACGGCACGATAATAATAGTGAACAAATGTTTAAACAATGATTCCATAGTTTTTCTAACGTCAAAATGCGTAAAAGTGGAAACCTTTTTTTCATAGTACTGTATGGCTACTGTTTAAATTTGTTCAGATCTTGTAATTATTAAATTATTTCTGTTTTGGCAAGCATTTTGGTTTCTGTGCGTCGTGTGATAGATATCCGCGA